GCCCTGCCACTATTAATAGGGCTCAGAAAAACGTCGCAAGAATGACATGCGGGAGTGGAATGTGCATGTTTGCGGGGGGGGGGGGGGGGGGGGAGGTTATTAACCATCTGTGCTGCGTTGTGTAATTCACATCATTCCTGCACTAATCTTTTGGAATATAAAAAGACTTTTCATTTCAGCAGTTTTTTTTTCCAAATTGCCTTTAGTGATGCAGTGCATCTAATGCTGGTTTTATTTATGGGGCTGAGAGTTTTTTCACGCTGATTTATCATACTTGGCATTATTTTCGACCTGTGAATATTTAAAGGCTGCATTGCTCAGTGAATGTTTGGGTTAATCATATTGGACCTGGGCCCAGTCTGTTAGGGGCCCTAAAGGAGTCGGCCCGTCAGACAGAGTGGTTTATAACGTTTTATAGCGAGGCCTGTTCCCCGAGGGGGGGTGCAGTCATGCTGGATCTGGAACTTCAAAGGTCCAGCGTGAGTTAGAACCTCTATGTGTGTGTCTGTGTGTGTCTATGTGTGTGTGTCTGTATGTGTGTGTCTGTGTGTGTCTGTATGTACCGTATCTGTGTGTGTGTGTGTGGTTATGTATGTGTGTGTGTCTGTGTGTGTCTGTATGTACCGTATCTCTGTGTGTGTGTGTGGTTATGTATGTGTGTGTATGCATGTATCTGTGTTTGTGTGTGTGNTATGTACCGTATCTCTGTGTGTGTGTGTGGTTATGTATGTGTGTGTATGCATGTATCTGTGTTTGTGTGTGTGTGTGTCTGTGTGTGTATGTATGTATCTGTGTGTGTGTATGTGTGTGTGTGTCTGTATGTGTGTGTATGTTCACAGTGCTCTCCCATCCCACCCTGCCCCTGAACACTTGCCTAGGAAGCTTCCGTGCCCCCTCCCTCCTCTGCCCCCCCCACACACTGCCACATGTCCCACCTGCATCCCACTCAGCCGCCAGCAGGTGTTCCCAGTGAGCTTCCCTTCCCCCCGTCAAAGCCTCCTAGAGCAGCTGGAAGCAATTAGAGTAATGGGATTTGGGGGCCGGGGTTGGGACCAGTGGGTGTCAGTGAGGTGTCAGAAAGCGAGGTCAGTAGGCAGTGCCAGTGCGTGGTGTCAGGGGCGGAGTCAGTGGGCGGTGACAATAGGCAGTGCCAGTGGGTGATGTGAGGGGTGGGGTCAGTGGGCGGTGCCAGTGGGTGGTGTCAGAAGGCAGTGTCAGTGGGCAGTGTCAGTGGGCGGTGCCAGTGGGTGGTGTCAGAAGGCAGTGTCAGTGGGCAGTGTCAGTGGGTGGTGTAAGTGGGCAGTGCCAGTGGGTGGTGTCAGAGGGCAGTGTCAGTGGGCGGTGCCAGTGGGTGGTGTCAGAAGGCAGTGTCAGTGGGCAGTGTCAGTGGGTGGTGTAAGTGGGCAGTGCCAGTGGGTGGTGTCAGAGGGCAGTGTCAGTGGGCGGTGCCAGTGGGGGGTGTCAGAAGGCAGTGTCAGTAGGCAGTGTCAGTGGGCAGTGTCAGTGGGTGGTGTAAGTGGGCAGTGCCAGTGGGTGGTGTCAGAGGGCAGTGTCAGTGGGCGGTGCCAGTGGGGGGTGTCAGTGGGCAGTGTCAGTGGGTGGTGTCAGTAGGCAGTGTCAGTGAGCAGTGCCAGTGAGTGGTGTCAGAAGGCAGTGTCAGTGGGCAGTGTCAGTGGGTGGTGTCAGTAGGCAGTGTCAGTGAGCAGTGCCA